AATTCTCTCACATGTCATGTTCTGTCTTTGTTCTCTTAGCCATCAAAAAAGCACTTTACCCCAGCTATCAAAATCAACACAGGGGGCTGCCTTGTTCACTTTCCTGGGAGCAAATTCACCAGAAGGTACTGAGACACTGCAGTCCAAAGGATTTCTTGGGACACTGGGGAATGGGAAACACCCTAGGACTGGAGGAGGGCAAATATTTTTCCAATCTTCAAATATAAGGAAGTGAACAGAGAGGACACAATATATGCCAGTGAGCTTGACTTCAATTCCTGGGAGTAATTCAATAATAGATCACTAAAAAGATGGTTAATGAACATCTAGTTCATTAGGTAGTGATTCAATTTAATAACAAAGTACCAGTCTGGCTTCATCAAGAACAGGTCATGACAGACTACCCTTATCTCCTTTTCTGACAGGTATAAACTGGTAGTTCAAGGGGACACTACAGATAAAGTTTAATTAGACTTTAGTAAAGTCTCATATTCTTCTTGTAGAAGTGATGGAGAGGGGCAGCTAGGTGGCACTGTGGATACAGCGCTGGCCCTGAAATCAGAAGGACCTAAGTTCAAATCCAGCCTCACACATAACACTCACTAGCTGTGTGACCCTGTGCAAGTCACTTAACCCCACTGCCTAACAAAAACAAACAAACAAAAAAAATGATGGAGAGATGTGTTATTGGTCAGTTGTTTCAGTCCTGTCTGACTTTCCATAACCTTATTTGGGTTTTCTTGTCAAAAATACTGAGGTTTGCCATTTCCTTCTCCAGCTCATTTGACAGATGAGGAACTGAGGCAAACAGGGTGAAGTGACTTGCCCAGGGTCCCACAGCTAGTAAGAATATGGATTTGAACTCAGGTCCTCCTGACTTTGGGACCAACATTTTATCCTCTGTGACAGACCTAACTGTCCTGGAGATATGTATACTAGAAGGTAATACAAACACAATAGATTCAGAACTCATAGGATGGCCAGACTCAAAGAAGGGTCATTAATGCTTTAATATCAACTTGGCAGGAGGTCTTTAATGAAGTGCCCAAAGGATCTGTGCTTTGCTCTATGCTATGTAACTCTTTGATCAATGACACAAATCTAAGTGGTGCAGTGGACAGAGCTAGAAAGACTCCAGTTCAAATCCAGCCTCAGACACTTACTAACTCTGTGGCCCTGGCAACTCACGTAACTGCTGTTTGCCTTAGTTTCCCCATTTGTAAAAAGGGTATAATAATAGCACCTGCCTTCCGAAGTTGTCTTGAGGATGAAATGAGATGATATTTGTAAATTACTTTGTAATCCTTAACATGCCCCATAAATGCTAGCTATGACTTGGATAAAAGCATGTCTGGCATGTTCATCGAATTTTCAAATACCACAAAGTTGGGAGGGATAGTTAGTTAACACACTGGGTGACAGAGTCAGAATCCCGAGAGATCTGAACCTAATAGAGATCAATGCAAAGTCTCATACCTGGGTTCAAAAAATCAACCTAGAAAGTACGAGATAGGGGAGGTATGATTAGACAGCAGTTTGGCTAATTTCATTGCACGTTGCTTCACCCATTCAAAGAGAGCTTCTTGAACAAGGAAGGAGTCACATTTTTGCCTTTCTTTGTATTCTCAGAATCTAAGACAGTGACTGGCATAGGGCAAGTGCTTTAAAAATGCTTGTTGTCTGAATGACTGATTATATGAAAAAGGTCTAGGAGTCTTGGAAGACTATAAGTTCAATATAAGTTAGCAGTCTGATGTAATTACAAAAAAAAAGGCAAATGCAGTCTTGGTCAGTATTAAGACAGCTCTGTCAGTCAGTCAACAAACATTTATTAAGTGCTTACTATGTTCCAGGCTCTGTGGTAAGCCCTGGGGATACAAAAGGAGACAAAAGATAGTCCCTGACCTCAAGGAGCTTACATTCTAATGTGAGAACACAACATATTAAAGAGAGCTGAAAAGGTGTGGGAGGATACACACATGGGAAAGTCTAAGTGCCGCCTGACTGGTGTGAGTGCCCTCCAGAAATAAGTTCACAGTGCCTCCATACTCTGCCCTGGACAGACCACATCTAGATTGTTGTGTTCATCTCTAGGTGCCACAGTTTAATAAAGATGTGGACAAGCTGGTGGGTGCCCAGAGGAGAGTAACCAGGATGGTGAAGGACATGATGAGACTGCGTGACAGACGATGCCAGTTCAAGGCACTAGGAATGTTTTACACGGAGAAGGCTCACTTGTCAGTTACATCATAGAGAAGATTTCTTCTTGAGTTTAGGGTTGACCAGATGGCCTTGGACGTCCCTTCCTCCACTAAAATTCTTCAGTTCCGTGAATTCCAGCCCTGACACTTATTAGCTTTGTGAGCCTGTGGTTTCCTTATCCGTAAAATGGGATGAAATGCTACTTGCACTAAGAGTCAGTGTGGTATAGTGGATAGAAAGCTGGTTATGGACTTTGAGAAGTTGTGGATTCAAATCCTGCCTCTGACATAGACTAGCTGTGTGATTACGGGCACTTAACCTTACAGTGCCTCGAACAACAACCCTTTGAACTTGTAAGTTGTAGATGAGTTGCTGAATCCCATTATTAGAGTTAATTTTCCTTACCAGGAGCCCCTTACTAAGATGGAACCAAAGGTCTATACTGGCGTTTCCACCCCTTCCCAGCACCAGTGAGAGTCATTGTGAGGAAAGTGTTCTATGAAGCGCAACAGTGTTAGATAAAGGTGAGTTATTGTTAGTTTCTTTGAACCTGAAAGATCATAAATTTAGAACTAGACCCTCTACAGATAAAGAAAATGAGGGAAAAGAAAAAGAAAGGGAAAGGGATTTGCTCAAAGTCACACAGGAAGTGAGTTTATCATACCCCAAGTATGGGTACAAAGACAGTTGCTACTTGCCACAACATTTGCTAACTGTCTGTGATACATCTCGGTGTTACCTTCTCTCTTAGACGTATCCCACGTGCTCATTACTGGACTGTGAGCTTGTGGGAGGGTTCTTTGTCCCTAAGAGCAGGGACTGTCTTTTGCCTTTCTTCGTATCCTCAGTTCTTAGCGCAGTATCTGGCACATCGTAGGTGCTTAATAAATGCTTATTGACTGACTGACTGTGTGACCTCATAGCTGGGAACACAAGGTTTTTCACATGTGGTTTTTGATTTACCGGCCAAGTTCACTGGACTGAATATGACCTTTCTCACCATCCTCACTCTCAGCGCTTTGTCCATTTTCCTTTTCTTTTTCTTCTTTTTTTTTCTTTCCAACTTCTCCCCTTCCCTCGTTTCTCTTTCCCTTTCCCACCTTGGCACCTGGCTTCATTCCTGCTCCTCTTCTTTTTCCTTCTTCATATTCTCACACAATCACAAACTCTCAGCATTGGAAAGGGTCTTGGAAGAACCTTGGTGATTTCCTTACTTGTGTGTGTCTCTTTTATCTGCCTACTAAATTGCTAACTTGATCATGGCAAGTATCAGATTTAGAAATGCAAGGTAATTCAGGAATCGACTAGTCCAACCTTCTCATCACCCAGTTGGGGAAACTGAGGCCCAGAGAGGTCAGGTGGCTTGCTTGAGGTCACATGGGGAGGAAGTAACAAAGTCAGGATTTGAAGCCCCACCACAACTTAATACCTAACATTCTTTCTGCTGTGGAAATAACCAGCCTTCCTATGGACCATGTCTTAGCAGGAATAATAATAACAACAGCTAACATTTAAGTAATGGCACCTGCTATGTGCCAAGCACTGTACTAAGAGCTTCGCAACCATTATCTCATTAGATCATTTGACAGCCCTGGAAGCTGTGTGCTATTATTATCCCCATTTCACAGATGAGGAAACTGAGGCAGTGGTTAAGAGACTTGCTCAGGGTCACATAGCTAGTAAGTGTCTGAAGCAGAATTTGAACTCAGGTCTTCCTGATACCAGCATTCTCTCTGTGGTACCACCTGTTTGAAATATTGCATCCTGTAGAATGTGAGGGCAGGGGCACAACACTTTATTTTGTCTTAGTATCCCCTGTGCCTAGCACAGTGTCTTGCTTCCAAGTAAGTGATCATTAAGATCATGGATTTAGAGCTAAGGAGCCATTGAATCTAATCTTATTTTACAGATGAGGAAATTAAGTACCAGAGATGTCAAGTAACTTGCCCAGGGTCACATAGCTAGTAAGTATCAGAGGCACTATTTGAAGCCTTGTCTTTCTGGCTCTGAGGCTAGTAACCATGCTTCATTGAAAGTTAGTTGCTTGCGAAATTAAATTATGCTATGTGGCATAGTGGAGAAAGTGCTGGGTTTGGAGTTTGGAAAACCTGGGTTCAAATCCTGCCTCAGATACTTATTAATGACCCTGGGCATGTCCTTTAACCTCTTTCAGCTTCAGTTTCCTCATTTGGAAAATGGGTATAATAATAGCACCTATCTCCTAGGGTTGTTGTGAGGATCGGATGAGATAACAGATGTAAAGTACCTTGCAAATCTTAAGACAAAATTGCCACATAAATGATCTCGTTACTTAAGCACAAATGCTGCTTACTAACGATGTTTGTTGAATGAAGGAAGGAAGGAAGGAATAAACTATAAGGAAATAAACAAGACAGAGGGAGACTACAGGTGGTGATCAGGAGACTGCTGTTAGAAAGCATTTGAAGAAACAGGGCCCAGTTCTGCACAACTGCCGGAAGGGACATTTAAGGAAGGAGTCAGCAGGGGCAAGGGCACCGGCCATCTCGTCCTCTGCCTTCCTTCAGTTGACCTTGATCCAAGTCCAGATTTGAGTCCTGCATGTGAATCCTTGGAAGAGCACTCGAAGGATGTTTCTTTTCCCTCCTCCAGCCCCGATGTGCACCCTTTATCCAGAATCTCTGGCTTCTCCAAGTCTGGAGGGAAGGGCAAGTGGTCAGCTTCCTCCTCCTCCCCTTCCTCCTCCTTTTCCTTCTCTTCTTCCTTCTCCTCCTCTTTTTCCTCTTCCTCTTCCTTCTCTTCTTCCTTCTTCTCCTCCTCCTCTTTTTCCTCCTCTTCCTCCTCTTCCTTTTCTTCCTCCTCCTCCTCCAGTAAAAAAAAACCTCTTCTAGATCAGAGACACGCAGCCCTGCCTGTCAGCTATCCCTTAGGATGAGACTTCTAGCACCTCCTCCTTAAAATCCAGTCCTTCCTGATCCTGATGTTCCAGCTGTTCCAACCTGCTGGCTTTGTGGTGAACAATCTCATGAGGAGTTTTCAGGAATCTGGAATTAAAAAAAAAAGGTGGGAGTGGTTAAAGACTCGCCTGCCTGAGCCAGGGGGAAATGGGCCCTGGGCCCTTCCTTCTCCCAGGCCAATTCCCCTTCCTCACGTTACCACAGCATCTGAACTGTTCTTACCTGAACAAGAGTTTCTGGCCTGGCTCCTTTTTGATGATTTTCAGTTTGTAGTAGTGCCGGAGAGCCCTTGACATCTTCTCATAGGTCATGTTCACCCGGTTCTGTAAGAGAAAGCAGGCACCGTGTGACCTAAGGGATCTGGAACTATCAAATTATTCTGGGCCTGGAAGGCCCCCGATCTTTGTGCCGCGGGAGAAGTCACTGTCTGGTTCTCTCTGCTTGTGCTAACCCAGAAGTCTCCTCGCTTCTCAGGGTAGGTGGGAGAATTTAATTTCCAGGCCAAAAAGTGCATGCGGTTGAAACGCAGTTAGAGACAAGAGTGTGATGTGGCGGGAAGCACCAGGAGTTGAGAGACCTGAGACTTTGTGCTATCTCTGCTAACAAACCTCTCTGGGCCTCAGTTTCTTCATCTGGCAAATGCGTATTATGAACATGGGAATAATCAGATTGTACAAACTTAGAACTGGACGGGAATGCAGCAGTCAGCTGGCCCAGTGCCCTCCAACCCTGCCCAGGCTTGTTCAGGGACAGGCCCCTGTATTTCTAAGAGTTAGCCTTTGCAGCCTCAACTTGAAACAAAAAAAATGCTTCCTATCATACATGAAAGATTTTGAAAATCACAATACAAATATAAAGTACCATTAGTTTAGATGCAGGATAAAGGATCATTTGCTCCCTCTTTCAGAAATATTAAGAAAGCATATTTTTAGTGGATAGAGCACTGGCCCTGGAGTCAGGAGGACCTGAGTTCAAATTCGGCCTCAGACACATAACACTCACTAGTTATGTGATCCTGGGCAAGTCACTTAATCCCATTGCCTAGAAAAAACAAAACAAAAAGAAAGCGCATATTTTTTAATTACCCTAGTCTAAAGCCTAACCATTTTCTTTTGGGCAGTCAGGTGGTCCAGTGAATGGAGTGCAAGACTTGGAGTCAGAGAGACCCAGGTTCAAATCTTGCATCAGACACTTACTAGCTGTGTGACCCTAGACAAGTCACCTAACCTCTCTCAGACTCAATTTCTTCATCTGCAAAATGAGGATGGTAATACCATCTACCTCACAAGCTACGAGGATCAAATGAGATAAAACATTTGAAGTGCTTTACACAAATTCTATTATTAAAATTATAACTAAGTATATAAAAAGTTAAGAATGAAAGCTAGTTTTCTGAAAACAGATTAAGGGTGGTAACCAGACTTCAAACAGGGAAATATCTCAATGTAGCTATGGCCAGCTGGGAGCAGCTAGGTGACGCCATAGTGCACAGAGTGCCTGGCCTGGCATCAGGAAGACTCATCTTCCTGAGATGAAATCCAGCCTCAGACACTCCCTAGCTGTGTGACCCTAGGCAAGTCACTTATCCCTGTTTGCCTCAGTTTCCTCATCTGTAAAATGAGCTGGAGAAGGAAATGGCAAAGCACTCCAGGATCTTTGCCAAGAAAACCCCAAACAGAGTCACAAAGAGTCGGACGCGATGGAAACGACTGACCAAGCTAAGCCCATTGCCTTTTCCCCTGGGCTGAAGGGATGAAGGGTAATGATCAAATGGAAGGAGTCTTTTGACGGCTTCAGCTGATGGAAATATGCCAGAGAGTGCCTTTGTCCACTGGAAAAAAGAATCCTTATAGGGAGGGACTGAGTCACTTTAGGAAAACCATTCTCCATGAGTGAGCAGAAAGTGAAGTGAATTTGGTTCTGCTTTGATGATGCAAAATAATAAGTGAAATTTGTCCTGAGTGTTGTGACTGGCTTTATCCCATTATGGAATCATGGCTATTGTTTTGAGAATATAATAAACCATTAGCCAAAAAATGGTTTTTGCTGGAGAGAGATTTCCGGGGTCGTGGGCCAGCTCTGTCTGTCTTTGTTCTGCTCTTGCTAAGTACAAGTACTTGGATTATAATACTCGAAATCAATAAAAGTTATTTCTGGCAGGCTCATGCCTAAAATGCAGAGTGTAGAGTTTTCTTCCATATTAGTAGCAGTGGTAACAATATCAATACTACTAATAATAACAATATGAGAAACAGTGTGGCATAGTGGAGACAGAGCCAGTCTTTGATCAGGGAAGACTTGAGTTTAAGGCCTACCTCTGACACATACTGGCTGTATGACCTTGGGCAAGTCACTTCTTCTGTTAGTGTTCCAGGAAACTCTCAGATTTTCAGTTGTAAAGTGGCTGTCAATCTACATTGGTAGAGGGAATTCTTCACTGGGAAGTCCTCATACCAATGAAATCCCAGGTCTGGTAAAATAATAACAAGTTGTTCAATCACTTCTGACTTTTCATGACCCTGTGGACCGTACTTTCTATGGGATTTTTTAAAAAAATTTTTGTTTGTTTTTGCTAGGCAATGGGGTTAAGTGACTTGCCCAGGGTCACACAGCTAGTAAATGTCAAGTGTCTGAGGCTGGATTTAAACTCAAGTCCTCCTGACTCTAGGACCGGTACTCTATCCACTGCGCCACCTAGCTGCCCCTCCATGGGATTTTCTTGGCAAAAAATACTTGGGTGGTTTGCCATTTCCTTCTGGGATTAAGGCAAATAGAGGCTAGGTGACTTGTCCAGGGTCACACAGCTGGTAAGTATCTGAGGTCACATTTGAACTGAGGTCTTCCTCAGTCCAGGCCCAGCACTCTAACCACTGAGCCATCTAATGCAGTAGATAACAATAAATGGCTAAGTACAACTCTGAGTTCCATTGACTCACCCAATTTATAAAAGAGCTCAGCATCTATGCCTCAGCATTCCTACCTATGAAATGGTAATAACAAGCTTCAGACAAATTGCAGTCTGAAGAAGCTCTAAAGGTGAAGCATTCCAATGCTGGGAGTGATTCAATTCATTCCCACAAACATTCACTGCATGGACCTCGTGGCTGGGCTCCCTACGGCCATCCCCAGAAGGAAAACTTGCAAGGCCATCTTGTACGTCCAGAGCCCAAGCGTACCTTGTGATTTCCCCAGAGCCTGGCAAGTCCATTCGGATCGACCACCCGGAAGACCTTGGAGTCCTTGTCTTCCCACTTGATGTAAGATTCATACCGGCTGTCAGAGAGCAGCTGATACACATAGTCCCATAGCAAGCGACAGTCTGTGGTGGATCAGAGGGCAACACAAGGGTGATGCATAGCAGGATGCAAAGATGCTGTCTGCAAAAGGGTTTTCTAAATAAAATAAAGCAGTGGTGATGGGTGGGGTGCAGAGCAAGCATTTATTAAGCACCCCCTATTTGCCAGGCGCCGTGCTAAACGCTTAGTAAATACCATCTCATTCGATCCTCGGGCAGCTCGGTGGCCCAGTGAACAGAGGGCCAGTCACTTAGTTCATCGGTTGATAGAGTTGACCACTTTGTCAGCTGGCCAATCGATCTGTCAGTCAGCCAGTCAGGTCAACCAATCAGTCCATCATTGCTCAGGGAGTCAGGTATTCAAATTAATTATCAATTGGTCAGACAGTCAGCTGATCAGTCAGCCAGTCAGGTCAATTCATCCACCTATAAACTGGTCAGCTGGTCAAGAGTGTGTTGGTAATGCCCTACACGAAAACAGAAGGGGAAGAGGATAAGAGAAGGGGAGAGAGACAGAAGAGAGGACAGACTAGGGGAAGGGATATTCAGAATGCATGCCATCTTGGGGTGGGGGAGGGGAGAGATAGGGTATAAATTGGGAATTCAAAAACTTGTGGGAGTGAATGTTGAAAGCTAAAAATAAATAAATTTATATTAAAAAAAAAAAGAGAGTGTGTTGGTAAATGTTTAACAATAAGCTCTCTGAAAAAAAGAAATGCACATATGATACATTTTTAAAGTTTGATCTATTATCAATATCTTCTCCATCACTTTCTTAAGTCTAGATGATCAACAAAATAATGCATCAAGACCCAATTCATTGCATTTGTGAATTGTGAGGTAATAGTCACACTGGAAATTTAACAATCGGCTCAGAAGAGCTGGCTCCAAGCTTCCTCCCCTGCAAACCAATTGTCAGTCAAGTCAACAATCAGTTGGTCAGTTAGTTGTTTCGCTAGCTGGTCTCTCATTGGTCACTCAAGCCTTTTATTTTTTTAAAGGCAATTGGGGTTAAGTGACTTGCCCAGGGTCACACAGCTAGTAAGTGTCAAGTATTTGGTCTGAGGCCAGATTTGAACTCGGGTACTCCTGACATCAGGGCCGGTACTCTATCCACTGTGCCACCTAGCTGCCCCAAGACTTTTTTTTTTTAATGAACATCCAGGGTAGCCAGACTTAGTATTTGGCTAGCATCCAAATTGTCTTTGGCAAGAGATAATTGCCTGGTGAGAAAAGTGGGCTTGGATTTCTTCAACCTAGAGAGGCTTTGGGGACCCTCTCTGCAGAAGGATCAGTCTGAGGCTAGACTACGATCACATGGTACACCCAGAAGCCAAGAAGGGACAAGGACTCAGGCACTTAATCAATTCAACCTGAGCTCTTACCTTCAGACTCCATTCATTAGGTGTGTAGCAGCAAGATATATAAATTAGGTTGTACCTTCAGGGAAATATGGTGCTCCCCTCCCAAAGCAACTACATCTATTGCTAGACTGCCTTCTGTGCTACTCCATCTTCTAAGCCTACCATCCAATCAAATTCCTGGTACCTGTTGTTTACAGACCCCAGGTCACTGTCCTTCCTTCCTCAATGAGGTTGATACCTGGCTTACAATTTTTCTCTTCTCCCCAGCTCCTGCCCTCATATTAGAAGACTCTGACATATAAATTCTCCCTCAAATACCCTAACTTCTCAGTTCCTCAACCTAGTCACCTTCCATGAGCTACTACTCCACCCTACCTCAGCCACACACAAAGATGTTCACACCCTTGATTTTGTCATCGTCCACAAAGGTGCCATCTGCATGTTCAAGAATTCCGAAGTCCTTATCTGACCATAATCTATTGGCATTTCATCTCTCCCTCTTCCTTCCCTTACATATCCCTACTCTTCATCCTCGTTGTGACCTTTAATCCCTTCACCCCTCAAAGGAGGCCCCTCCCAGGCCATTTCCCCTGCACTAGCTGCTCTCTCTCTTCTTTTCCCCAGCTTGACCCCTTGGTAAGCCAATTCAACCCTACACTATCTTTGCCTCTTGAATCCCTAGCCCCCTTATGTATCACCCATTATATTCAGCCAAGCCTCAGCCTTGGATCACTCCCCGCCATTCATCAGGTTCCATGCCTACACATGCATTGCTGAATAAAGATGGAAAAGATCAGACAACTGTTCTGACTGGGTCCACTTCAAATGTATGTTTCCTAACCTCAATGGGGCCCTCGCTGCTGCTAGGTAATCCTGCCCTACCTCCATTATCAGCTCACTACCCCACTCTCCACAGTGGCTCTTCCAAACCTTTTCATCCCTCCTGAAACCTCCCATAGCTCCTCCTGCCCCTACCCTCTCAGCAGAGAACCTTGTCTCATATTTTACAGAAAAAAATTGAGGCCATTTCTGTGAACTCCCTCATCACCCTTCTTCATCTCTCATCACTCAAACACCTTCTGTCACTTTCTCTTCCTTCACCTTTGTTTCACATGATTAAGTGGCCTTGCTTCTTTCCCAGGTTAACTCCTCTACCTGTTTAAGTAATTCCATTCCAACCGTCTCTGCCCCCTCTGCCCTCCCCACTATTTCCACTTATTTTCAATCTCTCCTTCTCCATTGGCTCATTTTCTACTCCCTACAGACATCACCATCCTGAAAACATCCTCACTTGATCCTTCCACCCTGTTATTGTCCTATATCTCTTTGGCCCTTTGTAGCTAAAAAGGCCATCCACAATATGTGCCCGCACCTCTTCTCTTACTCTCTTCTTAACCCCTTATGATCTGGATTCCAACTTTATCATGCCACAGAAACTTCCCTCTCCAAAGTGACTAATGTTCTCCTATTTGCCAAGTCCAATGTCCTTTCCTCAATCCTCATTCTCCTTGACCTCTCTGTAACCTTTGACATTGCTCATCCCTCTATCCTTCCTGATACTCTCTTCTCTCTAGGTTTTCAGGACATTACTCTCTCCTGGTTTTCTTCCTCCTTATCTGACCACTCCTCTGTCTCCTCCTCCATATCATGCCCTCTAACCATAGGTTAGTCCCTCATGGTTCAGTCCTAGGCCCTCTTCTCTTCTCCCTCTATATCATCTCATTTGGTGATCTCGTAAGCTCCCGTGGATCTAATTACCCTCTCTGCATTGATGGTTCTCCAATCTACCTATCTTGCCCCAATCTCTCACCTCCAATCTTATGTCTCCAACTGTCTTTCAGACATCTTGAACTGGATGTCCAGTAGCCATTTTAAACTCAATACGTCCAAAATATCCCTATTACTGCAGAGGTCAATACAATCCTCTCAATCCTTCAGGCTCACAGCCTAGGAGTTATCCTGAATTCCTCACTATCTTTCACCCCATCCCCCCATATCCAAGCTGTTGGGAAGGCCTGGCGATTGCACCCTTGCAATATCTCTTCAATGCACCTCCTTTTCTCCTCTGACACTACCACCACCCTGATTCAGACCCCTATTACTTCATACCTTGATTGCTACAATTGCCCATTGGTACATCTGCCTGCCTCAAGTCTCTCTCCACTCCACTCCATTCTCCATTCTAAAGTGATTTTCCCAAATGCAGTTTTGATCATTGCCTCCAGACACAAACACGAAATGTTCCATTGAGCATTCAAAGCCCTCCATAACCCAATACCTTCCTACCTTCCAGTCTTCTTATACCCTCCTCCCCAGCACATACTCTAATTCAGTGACACTTGCCACCTTGGTTCTTCCATAAACAAGAGAAGTCGCTCCATCTCTCAGCTCCGGGAATTTTCTCTGGCTGTCTCCCGTGCCTGGAATGCTTTCCTTCCTCCGCTCCAGCTACTGACCTCCTTGCTTCCTTTAAGCCCAGCTAAAATCTCACCTTCTACAGGGAGCCTTCCCCAATCCTTCCATTCCAGTGCCTTCTCTTCCTTTGATTATTTCCTGTTTTTCTTGTCTAAAGCTTGCTTTGTATAAATGTGTTTGCGTGTTGTCTTCCCCATTTGATTGTAAGCTCCTTGAGGGCAGGGACTATCTTTTGCCTCTTGGCACAGTGCCTGGCACATAGTAGGCACTTAATAAATATTTATGGAATTGAATTCAAATGGTGCAGGTATAGCAAAGTAAAGTCTAAGTTGAATGTCACTCCCCTACCTGTCACTTGACTCCTCTTATTTTAATCTTAACCTGAGTTCTAGAAAAATCTAGGCACATGTTAGATAATTTCTTAATCCTAAATAAAACTGTACTATTGTTCCCCAACCCACCCCACCCCATGTCTGGTTTTAAATAAGTGATATTTAATGAACTAGAGAAACCTCTTTTCCCAATAATAATTACTCTTCTTTTTATATTTAATTATATAAACACTTAATTATGTTAAAATTATTGAATGTATAAAATTTATCAACAAATAAAGTTAATTTTTAAAATGCTTTTTTTTTCTATAAACACACTATTCATCCAATGACATCCTCCCTTTCCATTCAGAGGCCAGGGTCCCCTCCACTCACCTGTAAGTTTTCCATCAATAGAGTCTTGCTTTGTTCTGTGAAAGGAACAAATGACCTCTGCCTGATAGCTGACCTCTGACATGTGTGAGAGATTGAGCGGCTCTTCTCTGAAGAAAGCCCCTCTCGGCAGAAAGGCAGGATCGAGCTGGCCAGAGGTGCTGCTGGACATCTCATTTCGTTGGGGTGCCAGGAGACCCCCTTGAGAGGTAGGTTTTAAGGGGTTATTACCCCCTGCAAGAAAATATGGAACTGTTGGATTTTTTCTCTTTGGTTCCAGAACTTTTCTCCAAAGAAACTCTTGCCTCCCTTTCTGGAGTGACCAGAGGGCACATATAACCAAGCATTGGCTTCTTCTCTCTGTTATCCAATCCAACCAATATTTATTTAGTTTGGGGTGTCTACTATATCTATGAGGAACAGTGGAAAGTATTCTGGTTTTTGGAATCAAGGACCTGCATTCAAATCCCAGTTCTGCCACACCTGTGTGATGTTGGGTAAGTCATCAAACTTCCAGGCCTCAGTTTCCTCATATGTAAAATGAGGATATTGATCTCTGAGGTCCCGGCTCCAAACTATGATCCTATGATCTATGTGCTAGAAGCCTGGTAAAAAAATATTTTCCCTCTCTCACCCCAGAAAGATGGAAAAGAAGAGAGAGAAGAAGAGCAGAGGGAGAAGAAGGGGGAAAGTTTCAAAAGAGAGAAGAGGAGAGAAAAGGGAAAAAAAGGGGAAGGGAGAGAACTGCCAGGGAACAACTAAAGATCTACATGAAATAGGCATCAATGAGCAAACAAAAACAAATATGTCCTGTCTGGCATTTAAATAAAACGTAGAAAAGGAAAAGAAAATATTTATTCTTAAAGAATATACTTTAAAAATTAAAATAACATATAATGTATCACATTACTATAATTTATATTGCAGTAAATATAAGCAAAATGCAACCTGGCAAATCATAAATTTTCTTAAATTGCAACATTCATATAATGCAACATATTTATAATTAGATGCATTTTGCTCTTTACTAGAATGTCAAATTTGTACATTTTCATAATTTAACACAAGATCTTTATTTAAAGACTAAGAGAATATAGAATTGGAAATATTTTGTATAAGTTGCATTTTTGGTAAACTTTATGTAGGTCACTTCACTTTTTGGAATTGAAGAATAACAAACAATTTAAAACCTATACTACACTTATACTTTAGCATAATTAAAATAAAACTGAACTACAAGTTCACTATTCATAGCAAGCTACATGTTAAAAACATTTGATTCAGGAAAGTTGCATCTGCCCATAAGATAGGGCTACACAGTTGGCATACTGTCAAATAGTAGGCACTAAACAGAAGCAGAAATGTTCCTTCACAAGACAAGTTCATTAATTATATATTCATACAGTTAAGAACCACATTAAAACATACTTGTGTTCTGTTCTTAACATATAGTTAGCAGTGCCTTTGTTGATCTGAGTCCCTATTGGTTAATAATTGACAACATTTTTGTATTGTTATGGTCTTCACTGATTTTATAATTGCCATCAAAGAACAATCAACAAATGATACCACTAAGAAATGACATATACACATATGTGTATACACAGATGCACACATGACAGACACATGCATGCACACACATAGTATATCTACACATATGTGCACATGTACACACATATGTCAATACATATGTGTATACACATGGGTGTGCATATAGAAATACACACAGTCGTCAGGCTCACACTGGCCTCTCTGCCTCGCCTCCCCCCACCAGCCCTGGTTCTAGGTGCTATGCTAGAGAAGGACAAATAGATTTCAGTGTCTCCTCTTTCTCAAGGTCTGGTCTGAAAAGGGCCAGGAGAGACTTATCTGCCCCAAAGGGTCTTCTCAACAGCCCCTCAACTTACCTGAAATGCCCATTTTAGGAAAGTCATTAGTATAAATTTCTTTAGGAGTCTCTTAAAGGAGCCTGAGTGATGGTATTATGCTACCCAGGAGAGGCAGAATATTAACACAAATTAATTCATCTCTTCTATTATCACCCCTGGCCTAGAAGAGGAATCATAGGATGTGGAAGTTCTGGTTGGGAGGTGGGATTGGGGATAATTTGCAGCCCCAGGCAGGGCCATCACTAAGCCAGGCTGAACAAGGCTTGGTGCCCTAGGGTGCCAACATGGTAGTGATGGTGCTTTCTCCTCAATATAATAGCAGTTCCTGTCTCAGGCCACTCTGCAGGGGACAATGACCTTGGGGCTCCTCTCCCAGGCAATCTGACTATCTTTTGCACCACTCCACCTTCCACTGGTCATCAAATTTGCCCCAGACAGAAAGAATTACAGCTAGTTCAGGCTGTGGCCATAAGCATATCACTGGGTAGAATCCTACACATAGAACAGTATGAGAACAGCAATCAGAGGGGCAGGCAGAACTGAGCATTGAAAAGAAGGGAAAAGGAGGTCAATAAGGGCAAACTTTGAAATACGGGATCACAGAATCTTTGAGTCACAGGCTGCATCAGACATGAGTTTGGAGATCATCTAGTCCAGGGGTGTGCTGGAAGAGCCAACTGTTAAATTTTCAGCGTGAGCATTCGTACCTCCAAAATCATTACAAATCAGGGCTGGATTTGTTATTTTGTTGATTGTCTACATTTAAGAAAGCAATAGAGAAAATGTTAATAAAGCAGATTAAATTTTAAAATGTGTTCAGTAATAACCTTCCCCTTCACCAAAAGCTGGTTGTTAAATCTTTATCAGCACACCCCTGATCTAGTTCCCCCACCCCCACTTTACAGATGGCAACTATGTGGGACAGTGGATAGAGTGTAACATTCTAGTTTGAATTCTGCCTCAGGACCCACCTAGCTGTGTGACCTTGGGCAAATCCCTTAACCTTTTTTCGTCCTCAGTTTCCTCATCTGTAAAATGAGGATAACAACAGCATCTACCTCCCAGGATTATTGTGAGGATTTGCAAACCTCAGAGCACTGTTGCTAATTATTATTTTGTTGTTGTTCAGTCATTTCAGTTGTGTTCGACACTTTGTAATGCCATCTGCGGTTTCCTTGGCAAAGACGCTAGAGTGCTTTGCTATTTCCTCATCCAGCTCATTTTACAGATGAGGAAACTGAGGCACACAAGGTTAAGTGACACAGCCAATAAGGCTCTGAGGCCAGATTTGAACTTGTGAAAGTGAGTCTTCCTGACTCCAAACCCAGCGCTCTCTCCACCATACCATCTAGCTGCCCCATTGCTGTTGCTGTTGTTCCAGGTAGGAAAAACTGGAGCGTAGGGAGGGGAAGAGACTTGCCCCCAATTCCCACAGTTGCCTACAGGATAATATTGCCCATGGCTGGGGCTGCCCTGAGATTTGGGGGTAAGGATGGGAAGGTTTTCTGGACAGGTACAAAAGCACAAGGGAAGACCGCCTCACCTTCCAGAGGACAGAGATGCTGCCGGAAGGGGATCACGGGCCTGAATGGCGTGCTGAAGAGGGGTCCGCAGACCAGGGCTGTCCTCTGGGTCTTAATATACTGAAGCAGCTCATACAAGACATCACCTGGCAGCAAGGGAGAGAGAGGGTGTTGATCGGGGCTCTCTGAATCTGACCGAGAAGGGAGCAAAGAGTGCATCTTCAGGCTCTGGATAGGTCACCCTTGAGTGGAATTGAGGGCGGTATGTCCCTTTCCCTCACTCATATGAAGAAGAGACTGCCTCCTAGCCCCAGAATGGACTCCCTCCTCATCCCCAGAAGTTGTGGAGCTCTTTCTTTTCCTTCAACACTCAGCTCCAGTGTCATTTTCTCCATGAAGACTTCTTGGATCCATCCTAGCTGGAAGGGAGCTCTCCTCATTTCCTTAAGGACATTTTTAATCTATCCTTTGTCTCTTTGATATTCTGCCTTGTACATGTCCTATCCACACTCTTGGACTGCAAGCTTTTCTAGGGAAGTCACTGTGTCTGCTTTAAATACTATTCCCACCACCACCACCACCACCACTGCTTAGCACAATGCTCTGCCTATAGTAGGTGCTAAGTGTTTGCTGGATCGAATTAGGCCACTCTATTCTGGCATTACTGCCTCCACATCATCAGACACAGACCAAGCACTCCCAGGCAGGCTTGTTTACAGTATTGGGCTTGGAGTTGGGAAGCCTGAGTTCAAATCCTGCCTCAGACACTGACAAGCAATGTGATCCTGGGCAAATTTGTTCCTCACTTTCCTCACCCGTAAAATGAAAGGGTTGAACTCAATGGTCTCTGAGGTCCCTTCTTCAAGCATTAAATCTATAATCCTGTGATTCCCCAGTCTCATGGAACTTTCAGAGCTTTGCTCAGGACAAGGTTTCTGCTTTCAAAGAAGAAGAAATAACCGTGCGAGGACTTGGGATATTCTCTTTCCCTGTCCTCAGTAGAAATGTCCAATATATATATTTGTCGAATTGAATTGAATCCCTTGCCTGTCGGCCCTACCTAGGGCCAGCAGACAACTTCCTCTGTGGTGTAAGTTGAGGGTTGGGGGAGGGCAGAAAGGGTCTCCTGCCTCCAAAATGCTTGAATTACCTATACTTTTTGCTTGAGGCAGATGTTAAAAAGCAAGCGTTACATGAAAGGGATCATAGGGAAAGGCTTTAAAGACCACCTGGTCTAACCTCCTCGTTCTACAGATAAGTAACTACTTGGAGCCCTGTTAGGGCCATGGCTTGTCAAGGGCATAATTGAATATTTGCCAGTCATGGCCTTAACTTCAAGTGTTTGATCACATAACTCTTTGCCCCCTGGAAGGGATCTGAGTAGATAGGACCCAGAGCAGCTAAGTGGGTAATTTCTGTCACATTGTTTTTTTCTGGTATATGGCAGAGGTGGGGAAGGAAAAGATTCTTGGCTTCTAGGTCCTTTGGAGATCAGCTTTTGATTCATAGAATGTCAGAGCTGGAAGGGACCTCCAGACTTTAAAATAGAGAGGACAATAGAGAGTCTGCCTCCCAGTCAGGGAGACCCAGATTCAAATCTTGTCTCTGACCCATCCTGTCTGTGTAACACTGGACTCAAACCATAGGAAGCATTTTGTCCAGCCTCTCAATTTCCAGATAAAAAGAGTCAGACCCATGGATGGAAAGCGACCTGCCTGAGGTCACAGAGTGAGTCAGTGGTAGAGCTGAGCCTAGAACCTTGACAACTGGTCCTTACCATATGATGCTGCCTGGGCGGGGGCGGGGCAGAGGGGGGAGGAATGGGGGAGGAGGATGGGAGGCAGAATCTAGGCAGCAAGAGGATAGTGATTGGAACCCTTGGGAGGATGGGAAAAACAAAAGCCAGTGGTGGAGTGAAAAGAAGGCTGACTTTGGCATCAGAGTACCTTGGTTTAAATACTGACTCACTATTCACTAGTGGTGTGACCTTAGGCAAATCTTTCTCCTTTTCTGGGTTCCAGTTTCCTCATCATCAGTAAAATGAATGGGAGGCTGTGGAGGTGAGAGGAAAGAGTACTGGCTACAGAGTCAGAGGACCTGGATTCAAATCCTGCTTTTGGTGCTTACTGTATCTATGATCCTATGATCTCTGTAAACCCCCTTCTAGCTCAAAACCCTATGAAATTAGCCTAATCAGATACAGGACAGGTCTTGGTCACATCCTACATTTTTCCTCAAAAAGCAGCAGTGTCTCCCAAAATTTAGGATGTCCTCTGCCCTGTGGGAGGCCCATAGACTTATCTCCTGGGGGCTCTCTACCCTCCACCTTCTTGAAGCTATAGCCACAGCAGGGGTGAAAGGCAGCAAAGAACTGAGGTTTCGTAGGGAAAGAGAACTCACATAAAAACTTCAGGGGGAGAACAGACCTTTCTGAGGGAAGGAAGACCCTGGCCTACAGTTCCTCAATGAGGGTGTTAAACATTCTAGCAGCCCCATTGGGGTTGCTAATTTGGGGAACTCTATAATAGGAACTGGGGGGGGTGAGGAGGAGGAGGGGAAGAGGAGGAAATGGAAAATTTTCAAAACTTTCCTCTTTGACTCTTGTAATTACAGGCTGAAAGAAAAAAAAAACAACAACAAAAGAAACTTGAGAAATATAATGCATTCATGAGGAAAGAGAAGAGTGAATATGCAGTGTGGCTAAGTGCCAGATGAGACAAAGAGTGGTCTCTGCATTAGACAGAGTAGACGTTTGTCTACAGTAGCCGCAAATAGAAATGGGGCCGCTAAACCCTACATGAAGATTGACTTAGAAAAACACGTATTAACATTATCTATGTTCTACTGCATTTTTTTTTTGTTAAATGTCTCCCAAATACATTTTAATCTGGTCTGGGTGGCACTAGGGGTAGTGTGACCTGGCAGGCACCCAGCTATGTTTCATACCTTTTGTCTACAGAGTGTGCTTTCAGGAGTTTCTGATCCCTAAATACTTCCCTTACCTGGCCACTGATGCTTACAACTTCATCATTCAAGATCATTAGAACACAGCTCTAGAGCTGGAAGAGACTTGTAATCTAATCCTTCATTTTACAGAGAGGGAAACTGAGGCCCTAGAGAAATTAAGTGATTTGCTGAAGGTCACAAAGTGACAGAATCAGGATTTAAATCCAGGTCCTCTACCTTCAGATTTGTTCCTTGGCTTAAGGCAGGGGTTCTTGATCTTTTTTGTGTCAAGGACCCCTATGGCAGATAAGTGGGGCCTATGGACTCATTCTCAGAATAATGTTTTTAAAAGCATAAAACCAAACATTGAGGAAACCAATTATTTGAAATAGTTATTAAAATATTTAAAAATTCTAGTTCCCAGACCCCAGGTTAGGAATCATTGGCTTAATCCATATTAATATGACAAATCCTAGGGAGGGAGGGCTCAGGGTTAACAGTCACTTATACCTCCTTGTTAAGAAGTTTGCCAGATCCTTTCCTGAGGATAGGAACACGAAAGCACTAAGTGTATATGTGTGTTTGTGGGGAAAGAGGAGGGGTCAGAAAACTAGAAAAGGGACAAGAAGGAAGGGTATATTGAGTAGGAGAAAGGGCACAATTTTGCCAAAGACCCAGCCCTGAATGAGAGCCCCCTTTTCCTGCACAAGGGCTAAATGTGCAGCAGAGAGAAACCTCAGCTAAGACGTAAGTGAGAGAAGGTCAGATGGGAAAACCACAAGTAGGTTTCTTGCCCTGACGTCCTTCCTGCCAGAGGCAACTGACCACATCCATCATATGCCCACCCCAGCCATCTCCTTTTTGACTGAAGTCTGTTACATGTGCTGACCTGAACCGGGAGCTCGGTTTCTGAAGTCATCTTTGGTCAGGATGCAGAGGGCCTTCCCATTCATTTCAAACTTGTGCTCCATGGTCTGCGGGAGGGAGTATTCCTGTTCAGCCCATCTTAGCCAGTGAATCACATCCTCCTTACTCCACAATGACGGCTGAATTCCTGTAACCAACCACAGACACGGATCAGAATGGGAACCACTGATGCCCTGAGCGTGAGATCATCAAGCTGCAAAGACCTTAGAGTCTGTCTAATCTAATCTCTTCATTTTACAGAGAAAATGGAGGCCCACAGAACTTGCTTAAGGTCACACGTGGAGTACATAACAGAGGCAGGTCTTGGGAAGTTTAGATGGAAAAACCACAAATAGGTTTCCCGCCCTGACAACTTCCTGTCAGAGCCAACACAGTCCAGGAGTCATTCATGGATCCAGAGCTAAGGTCGTCTGGAACCCAACTCAAACTTTGGAGTTCTCTGATTCCAAAGCCAACATTCTTGGTACAGTACCAAGCTGCCACTCAAGTGGCTGTGGGCTGGAGATGCTACCAGAACAGGGAAGTGATGGAAAAGGGGAGGGAAGGGGTGCTGAGAGGGTCAGTCATTAGGTAGCCTCAAAGGACAGAACCAGCTCTTCTTGATGGAGGTTGGCGGGCCACCCTTCCCCAATCCCTTCTTTGAAACTCGCTTGGAGAGGACTGCCCTCTTTCCTGTCTCCTTTTCCTCCAGCATTTTTCCCTCTGTTAAGTGCGTGCTGTTAGTTACTTTTATCAGTTTCAAAATGTTCCTTATTTTGTTAGCATCAGTGTGGTGCAGGGGAACGAACATAAGGCCTAACATCAGGAGAGACCTGAACACAACCAGGACCAGGATTCCTACTGAGGCCTCTGGCTACAAATCCAGCAATACTGACCACTTTTCACAACTTCCTCAGCCTTTAAATGGAACTAATCCTTACCTGGATTCACTTACAGAGAACCAAAAGCCTGCCTTTGAGGAAGGAAGACCCAGAGTTCAGATTCTGCTTTTGACCCATGCTGGCTGTGTGACCTGGGCAAAACACTAGACTTCTTAGGCCCTAAGCAACTCTTTAAACGCTTTGCAAACTTAAAATGCTTAGAGAAATGGGAGCCTTTATTTAGCATTTTGTGGGCTTCCTGGTTATCTTCCAAAGAATCATAGAAGGGACTCTCTAAGAACGTCATACCACTCCTTTCCATGTACTCCCTCTGCCACCCCAACTGGACTACTTAGACACAGCTGACCTGGAAATCACAACTGAACAAAACCCTCCTTTTTTCTCTGCCACAAAGGACAATTATTAAACTTCACACATTTTACATGTCACAGATAAAGTATTAGACTTGAAGTCAGAAAGACTTGGGTTCAAATCTCACCTCAAATACAAAATGTTTGTTGATTGACCAACTATAAAATGCTTTGTCAACCTTTAAACATTATGCTATTACTATTACTCCACTAGTTCTGTTTCAGAGGCAGGGACTACTGACTCAAAAAGAAGAGGATTTTCCATTCTCTTCATTCCCTATCTACCAAACTTCCCTTATTTTCCAAAGAGAAAAACAGAGATGTGAATATATTGATGCAAAATAAAGAGATGAAGATGTGGGTGTTGTACCCAGCCAGTTCTGTCATTACGCCATGTGTCTCTGCCATGGTCCACCCCCTTCCAACAGGGCATAACCCTGGAGACTATAAATAATGTCTTAAGAGCGTTTAATTTGTTCTCCCTAGCCACATGATTGTGCAATGCTGTAGGGCAAACAAAGAGGGAAATGTAAGAACTGGGAAAGAAGGGGAGGAGAAAAAGGAATAATATTTAATCACCACTTGGTTATGAGTCCAAAAAACAAACAACACTGGTTTTGTTGTTCTTGTTTACTCAGTTTCCTGCTGGGAAAGTAAAACAACATAATTCAGTCAGATCCTCATTATTCGAAAGCAAGGGATGCCGGTGGTAGAGGCAGAGGCTAGTGGATTGCCCTAGCTCGGGAGTTCTGAACTGCAAAGGGCTAAGCTGATGGGATGCCTGCACTAAGGCAGGCACCAATATAATAGAACTCCAAGGTGGGGAGGAAAACAAACTACCCAGGGAGGGGTTTCTAAACTGGCCCAGGGCAGAAACAGAACAAATCATTAGTGAGACTGGGCTGTGAGAGGGGCTGCTGCATTTCCAGCCCGGGTGAAATAGGGAAACCCAGGAAGAGAGGAGGAGGAGGAAGTGGAGGAGGAGGAGGAGGAGGATCACAATGATGACAGGGAGGACAAGGAAGAGGTGACTAGGATGAGGGAGAGGGAAGAAGGAGGGGGAATAGGAATAAGGACAGATGAAACAGAGATTCTAGAGAAAAAGTGTTCAGCTTTTTCCCTCCCTCCAAATAAGTCTTCACTAAATTGAAGTTTGACAGTTGCTTTCTGTGTCATTTTGGGCAAGTCACTTAACCCCTCTGGGCCTCAGCTTCCTCAACTGTAAATGAAGGGATGGACCTAGATAGCCTCTAAGCCTTCCTTCCAACTTGAAATCTCTTCAGATGACCTTGATGTGGGAGGTGAGGACAGAACAGGAAGAATGAATTCTATAAATTAATTCCATATTACGTGATGTATTCAGTGATAACATGGAGAAAGGAGACTCCTGCACTGAATGGGAAGTTGGACCCAGTGATTTCTCAGGTCTGGGCCAGGGGTGGGGAACCTGCAGCCTTGAGGCCACATAGGCTGCACTTGAGGACCTAAAGGACCACATGTAGCCTCGAGGCCACAGGTTCGCCACCCCTGGTCTAGGCAATCTCTGAGAGGTTATGACTCTAAAATGTTGCACCCTCCAGCTCGAAAATCTTCAGAACCTTCAAGCTACCCAAAAGTGGAGGGCACTGCTTCAGAAGGCTGTGCAGGTCCCCCGAGTTCACAGCTAGATGACCAGCTATCAGGGACATTGTTCAGTTCTGCAAGAATTCCTGTTCAGGGACAGATCCCAGTCAGCTCTGAAATGCCCTGAGAGCCCCACCTTCCCAATCGTCAACTGTTAATTTACTTTCATTCTTGCTGAGAATATGAAAATTGGTCATTATCTTCACCTTATCTTTTGAGACAGTTAAATATTTACCACACAATACAATTAAGGTACTTTCAGGGGGCAGCTAGGTGGTGCCATAGTGCACAGAGCACTGGGCCTAGAGTCAGGAAGACTTATCTTCCTGAGTTCAAATCTGGCCTCAGACACTTATTAACCGTGTGACCCTGGGCAAGTCACTTAACCTTGTTTGCTCATCTATAAAATGACCCGGAGAAGGAAATGGCAAACCACTCCGGTATCTCTACCAAGAAAACCCCAAACGAAGTCACAGAAAAATTACCAAAAAACAATAGCAAAAGGTACTTTCAGAAGCATCTCAATGAATATGTGTCATGATTCCTCGGATGATGGGAGGAGCATCTCAGCAGTTCCAATTTGATATAAAATAGGGTACTCTGAGTACCATATCTACCACTGTCCAGTAATGGAACTAGCTAGGTAATGAGCTCCCCATTCCTGGAAATAATGAATGAGCATAAGCTTGAGGACCATTTATCCATCAGGGATATTGTAGAATAGATTCCTACCGCACTGTATAGGACGTTAAACTACATGACCTTTGAGGTCATAAAATGTTTAAAAAGTGAAAGCAAGTTGAAATTCTTCATGCTAAGGGCTTAAATGTCCACAGTGCATAAGGCTTGACATGCCAGCCTACTATAATAGGACTTTGAGCTGAAAAGGATCTGAGAGATCATTTAGTTCCACCCCTCTCACAGACGAAGGGGAAGGAAGGGCCAGAGAAATGAAGTAACTGCTGAAAGGTCACATTGGCAGCTAGGTGGCACAGTGGGTAGAGTACTGGGCCTGGAGTCAGGAAGACCTGAGTTCAAATCTTAACTCACTCACTAGTTATGTAACCCTGGGGAAGTCTGCCTCCATTTGTCTACTTTCTGTCTTTCTTTCCTTCCTTCTTTCTTTTTTGTTACACTGTGAGTTCCAAGTTGTCTCCCTCCCTCCCAGCCCTGGATTAGAAACGACTAACATTTGATATAGATGTAAGCTGTTGTTGTTCAGTCTTTTCAGTCATGTCTGACTCTTTATGACCCTATTTGGGGTTTTCTTGGCAAAGATACTGGAGTGGTTTGTCATTTACTTCTCCAGATAATTTTATAGAGGAGGAAACTGAGGCAAACAAAGTAAAATGACTTGCCCAGGGTCACACAGCTACCAAGTATCTGAAGCCAGATTTGAACTCAGGAAAATGAGTCTTCTTGAATCCAGGCCAGGTACTCCATCCACTGCATCACCTAGCTGCTCCATATATGTGTGTGTATCTATGTGTGTATCTATGTATGTATATGTATATGTATGTATGTATACACACATTACATATGTGGAAGCATACAATACATACTTCCCTACATAAGTTCTTTCTCTGGAGGTGGATAGCATTTTCCCTCCTAAGTCCTTCATAGTTTATTTGAATGTTCATATTACTCAAAATAGCTCAGTCATTCACAGTTAGTCTTTGAACAATATTGTTGTTACCATATACAACATTCTCTTGGTTCTGCTCATTTCACTCTGCATTATTTCATGTAAGTCTTTCATCAGCCTGCTCATCCTTTTTTATAGCACAGCAGTATTCCATCATAATAATCACAACTTAGTCATTCCCCAATTGATGGGCATCCCCTCACTTTCCAGTTCTTTGACACCACAAAGACAGGCGCTATAAATATTTTAGAACATATGGGTTCTTTTCCTTTTTCCCTCATCACTTGGTAAACAGAGCTAATGGTGGTATTGCTGGACCAAAGGGTATACAAAGTTTTCTGACTCTTTGGGCATAATCCCAGAATACACCTCCAAATAGTGGGATCAGTTCACAGTATATTAGTGTCCCTGCCTCCATTCCTGTACCTGTAAAATGGGATTGATAACAGCATCTACTTCCCAGGGTTCTTGTGAAGATCACTCAATCAATAAGCATTTATTAAGTGCCTACTGTGTGCTAGGCCCTGGGCAAAAGTAGTCCCTGCTCTGGAGGAGCATTTTTGAATCCAATTCAAACTACATATAAATAAGCTATATACAGGATAAATTGGAAATGAGGAACAAAGGGAAGGCACTAGCTTTAAGGGGGATAAGGAAAGTCTTCTCGTAGAAGGCAGGGTTTTGGTCAGGCTTTGAAAAAAAAAAGCTAGGGGCTCTCGGAGACAGAGATAAGGAGGTAGAGAATTCCAAACATAGGATCAGCCAGTTAAAATACTCAGAGTTGGGATATGGAGTACCTTATGTTGACCAGTGGCACTGGATAGCAGAGTGAGGAGGGGCCTGGGAATAAGGTATACAATGACTAGAAACATAGGAGGGGACCAGGTTATAAAGGGATTTGGACATCAGGGATTGCATATTTGATCCTGGAGGTAATAATAGGGAGTCACTAGAGTTTATCAAATGGTGGGAGGGAGGGAGGGATATGATCAGACCTGTGTTTTAGGAAGATCAAATGAGATATTTGTAAATCGCTTTGCAAACCTTAAAACATTATATAAATGCCATTATTAAGAGGAAAAGCCAGGATTTGACACCTGTTTCCAAATCCAATGTGCTGTTCACTGCATGAAACTGACCCTCCTGACATATAGGAAGGACTCCTCAGAAGAAAGCTAGGGCCTTCCTAATGTAAGGACCCTTCAGTGTAACGGTTTTGTTTTTTCATTCTTCTCCTTGTGGGTGACCTAGCATGGTAGAAGGAGCACTGGACAGAGAGCATGAAATCCTAGCTCATTTTCCTTCTCTCTAAAATGAGGAAGGTTGGACTAATTGACCCTCAAAGATCCCTTCCACCAAAAAGTCCTATCAGGTGATTTTCCCTTATCTGGTTTTCATGGTCTTATGGAACGTTAGAGCTGGAAGGGACAATTCCACTCCCTTACTGTACAAGGAAGAAAGTTCTTACTGTCCACAGTTAATCATTCTAGGTTTACATATCACGGGCAGTCAAATCCCTCAACAGACAGGATTCTGATTTACCTTCTCTGACTTCATCTCCAAAGAAAAGCTAAATAAATGAGGGTATATAGTGCAAATCAGGGATAAGGGCCAGTGGGTTTACCTTGGAGAGAACCAAATATATTCAGGCCTTCGATTTTGAAAGGAAAAAAAATCAACATTGATCTCTTGTCTACTCACTGAGTCTGCCTGGCAATTTGCAGATCTCCTTCTCATGGATAAGTTGCATTCTAGCCTCACATCTGGCTTGGAATTGAGTGGCTGGGGGTGGTGTTGCTGACACAAGAATGGAAGAAGAATTAGCCAATTCTCCTCCCTAGAGAGAAATGAAACAGAACAAGACAGGTCATCATTCACTGGCTCAAAAGAAAGTAGACTTTTTTCTACTAGTCTAACCCATTAAGTTTTTTTTTTAAAGAAAAATAGCTGCTTTATTTTTATGTAGTCCAAATTTGCTAATGCACACTATGACAAGCCCCACTGGAGGATTCCTGGATATAAATTCATTTCCAATGCATAAAATCTTAGGGCCTGAAAATATGGTTTGAAAGGCAGATTGTACATGGTTTTAAAACCCTTTTAAAAGTACGTAAAGAAAGGGTTGCCAGTTTTACTCTAGTCCCCCAGCCCCCCAAAGTGGTGTCTCCATTTATAGCATTTCAAAATCAATTTAACCCAAAGAGGTAACCTAGCCACTAAAATAATGAGATTATAGATTCTAGAGCAAGGAGAGACTTTAGAGATCATTTCATTAAGAGATTTTTAACCTGTGGTCTGTGATTTTTAAAAAATAGATAGATTTAATAGTTTTAAAATTTTCCCCAATTACATGTAAAGACAATTTTCAACATTCATTTTCTGAAAGATTTTTAGTTCCAAATTTTTCTCCCACCCTCCCACCCTCCCCTCTCTCCTCCCCAAGATAGCAAGCAATCTAATATAGGCTATACATGTACAATGATACCTGTATTTCAATGTGGTTGATTTCCTTTGTAATTTCATGAATTTTATGCATTTAAAAAAATTATTCTAAGAAAGGACCCATAGGCTTCACTAGGGTCAGAGATATCCATGACACCAAAAAAAAGTTAAGGGCCCTTTTCTTTCTTTTGACAGTTAAAGAAGCTGAGGCTCAGAGGAGAAATGACTTGCCCAAAGTCCCAGGCATAGGAAATAGCAGGATCAGCATTCTAACCTGGGTCCTCAGGCTCCAAATGCAGTGTTCTCTCCACCCTGTTTTGGTATGATAAAGGGTCTTATTCTTCGAAGGTCACTTGAGGCTTCTTGCCAGGGACAGATAGCTAACTCAAGAAAAGTAAAAGTGAAACCAGATTCAGGTTAAAAATCAAAACAAAACAAAAGTCAAACCTTCTACTCTTTTAGCAAGGATCTTCTACATTTTTGCATTCATCTCCTGAGCATTTGTACAAAAAGATTCTGGAAGTGACAGCAACAAAGTAGACTTGGTTGGTAGAGAAGATCAAGATTGAACCTGTAATTTCATTGGTCAAAGATAGCAGTTTAGTGACATTTTGAATGAGTTCCCAGGGAACTGCCAGGTAAGGAAACTCCCTCCACAACTTATCACTTTGGAGAGTTGTCAAGAGCATAGAGACTGAGTGATTTGCCCAAGGTCACACTGCCAATATGTCAGAGATAGGCCTTGAACCCAAGCCTTCAATGCTCTATGCAGTTTGGCAGAAGAGCCAAAGAAATGAACTTAGGGCTCAGTTTCAGTTCCTGTTGAATGTCCATTTCTTATTCAAGCCTTTCGGTTGTGGTTTTGATCATCGGTCTCACGCACAACTATTATTAGTGATCTTCCACTTAGAAATGAGAGTATTCTCCAGAAAAAAAAATCACTTTTACCCTCCAAAGCTGGCTGTAGGCCAGCAGTCCACCTGTTCTTGGATTGAACAAATGCATCCAGTGTTTGCCCACTCCAACTTCTGCCAAGTAAGAACTGCCTAAAGAAAGGGGAATTCCAAGGCTGCTAACTGCAAGGGAAATGTGAGTCCAGGAGCCTCAGAACTGCTGGTAGGAACCAAGGCTCTAAAGAAAGGTATTGGTGGAGAGGACTATTCCTAAAGGTTGTAAGATATTTGGTTGGAGGGAGAATATGATTAAGGGGGGAGGATGAATGCTGACTGTGAGTTCCAGTGAGTTCGGTGGATTGAAGAATTTAAGGGATACTAGAAGGATTCAGGGGGAAAGTATGTGGGGACTGACTAGAGTAGAAAATATGAAGAAGCAAACGACAGGGGCATTGAATAGCGATTGTGGATGGCAGAGTGGGAGCAGTAATACCGGCAGTGGGGAGACAATGTTTGGAAGTGGGAATGAATGGAAACTTGATGATATGATAGACTTTAGAGTTAGAATAGAATCTTAGAGATTATCTAGTACAAATAGTTCATTTTGCAGATGTGAAAACTGAGGTCTAGAGGACAGAGGTTACAGAGATATTAAGTAGTAGAATCAAGGTTCAAATCCAGGTCCTCTGACTCCAAATCAACATTACATATGTTGGTGAGTGAAGCACAGCTCTAGGAATGGAAGAGGAGTCTGAGAAACTGAGGGAGTTCTGTGGAGAAAGCTAAGTAGAGAATAGTTTCCTGTGAGGCGGGGAAGCGATTTAGGAAGAGAGGGATGAAGTGAGCCTTCTTTAATTCAGGGATCAGGGGCTCTTACCTGCGTTACAGGTGGAGTGGAAGACCGTCTTTCTTTCGTGAGGACTGAGCTGGCTCCTGTTGCGGAGTAACTTTGGTCGTCGTTTCCTGACTCTACTTCCACCCAAACCCTTATTCCGGACCAGGAAAAGAAAGATGGGTGTAAGTAGGAAAACTATTTTGGAAGCGCTAGGGACCTAGGGACGCTGGAGCTCACAATCCCGCAGCGGTAATGAGTTCCGTCAGTCGCTATCCTTCCGGGAAACGAAAACGAAAGAGCAGGATCTGGCCTTCCACTCCCCCACCCTCCCTCCCCTCGGAGGCGGAGGACAGGAGACAGGGACAGGACTCTTGCCCTCCCCGAGGACTTCCACATTTGCTCCTGCGCCCTATCTCCGTCAGGCGCTGTTCACACTGGGAGTCCGTTGTCTCTGCCTCGCCTTCATCTGTCGCCTGCCGAAGCGCCTGTCCGAGGTGCTGCCGAATACGCTTGACGTGATTTTCAATCTGACGGTTTCTAGAGAACCTCTGGCTAGACCATCTTGTCAAGTATGCTGCCCGGCACATAGTAGGCACTTTAAAATGCTTATTTAATTAACTAATTTAGAAGTACGGGATTTGGGGAGGCAAGAACGGGCACCTTGACACCAAATTTTGGGCATTTGCAAAGGAACCTCTTGCAATTTATTCAATTTAATTCGACTTAATAAAAGTACTACGTGTCGGTTGCGGTGAATTGAATGCACAAGGCACTGTACATACAAAGACAAAAACAAAACATTCCTTGCTCTTAAAAATCTTGCATCTATTGGTGATACCATGTATGTTGATAGTTAAAGATAATGAATTTTTAGCTTTTTTGTGTGTCATGGGCCACATTGACAGTCTAGTGAGGCGTATGGACCCCCTTTCAGAGTAATGTTTTTAAATGCAGAAAATGAAAGGATAGGATTACAAAGGAAACCAATTATATTGAAACGGTTACAAAAATATTAAAAAGACAAATTTGTGGTATAATTCACAGATTCCCTGAAAATCTATTCAAGGATCTTTTGGGCATCCTAGGAGCCTTTGGTATAGAACAGGATAATTTAACAGAGAAAGACACAGGAGGAAAGATCAAAAAAGACATCTTGAAAGAGCCTTCAAGGAAGATAGGGATTCTAAGAGTCATCGATAACAAGGTAGTAATTATTGGGCAGATCACTTCTAGAGTATCATGATATGAGCAACACATTTTAGAAAGAGCATTGATAAAGTGTAGATCATCCACAGAATGACCACTAAAATGGGGGGAAAGTATCAATATGAGTATCAATAGAAGGAACAGAGAGGTTTGGCCTGGAAAAGAGAGCTGTCCAAGAGAGGAAAAGTCAGGCTTCCTGGGTTGTGGGTTCCCCAGTAGTGGAGTCATGTAAACAGGAACCACATGACCACTCTCCGAGTATGTTGAAGTGGGATGCCTTGTTTGGGTATGAATTGGACTAGATGGCCACTAAGATCCCTTACAGCTCTGAAATTCTGTGATTCTTAGTACATTTCATGCATGCGGTTAGCTGATGCAAAGGCTTGAAGGAAAGAAACGGAATATTGGACTCAGGGAAACAGCTAGTAGTTCTGTTTGACTGAAATCCAGGGAATAATGTGAAATAAGGCTGGAAAGGCAGATAGGAGCCAGATTGTGTATAAAATGCCAGTAACGATTTTGAATTTTACCATAGAAACAATAAAAAAGTGTTTAAATACAGAAGTGGTATGGTTAGACCTATGCATTAGGGAGATGATTTAGATAGCCATGAGGAGAAGGAATTGGGGAAGGAATAAATTAAAAGCAGGGAGACTAAGAGTCTATTACAACTGTACAGGCAAAATTTGATGAGGACTTGAATTACGTGGTCATGTGAGTTGAGAGAGTTAGATATAAGAGAAGTTGTGAAAATATCAACAAGATTTGGCAATCTGTTGAGTGTGGGGAAGGCATAAAGGGTAATAAATAGATGATGACTGCTAGGTTACAAACCAGGATAGTTGAAAAGGGTAGTGACCTCAACAGGTAAGAATTTTGGAGGATGGATAGAATTTCTGGGGAAAATAATAAATTCCATTTCAGACATCTACTTCCCTGCCTGGTTTCAACTCCACAGAACAAGATGTCCCACCCAGGATAAGCTCATCACTTTTAAACTCACTACCATGATGCTTTGATTGACTCCACCTCTCTCAGCCTCCCCTCCCTTCTGTTTGGAGGGATGGAGGACAGAGCACTCCTCCCAGGGCCTTCCTTTATGGAGGCCAGATTTTCAGATCTCTGTGCTTTGCATCTATTGCCCTCCCTGGTATCAACTCATGGGAAAAGATCCTCCCATGTTGGGTACTCCCTGGTATTCTGTCTTCTTCACTCTTACCCTTGCTCTCCTCCTTCCTTCCTTTTGCATGTTGTCCCCCCTTCAGATTATAAGCTCATTGAGGGCAGGGGTTGTCTTTCTTTTCATTAATTGCACCCCCAGAACTTAGCACAGTGCCTGTAGTGCTTAATAAATGTTTATTGGACTAGATTGGATATGTCTACAAGATATTCAGGTGGGAATATCCAGCAAACAGGTTATGAACTCTAGATGACTAGAGTTCAGAAAAGAGCTTAGGGTGGATATATAGATTTGGAAGCCACTTTTATAGAGATAATAACTGAAACCATGGAAGCAGATGAGATCCCCAAGGAGAGAATGTAGAAAGAAAAGAAAGGGTCTCAAAGACAAAATCTTGGGAAATACCTGTGTTTCATGGATGGGATACAAGTGACAATCTAGTAAAAAAAAAAGCTGAGAAGTGGTCAGAAAGGTAAGAGAAAAGTCAATGCCAGTGACTCTGGGGAGGGTGGCTATCAAAAGGTATGGAGAAGTCAAAGAGGAGGAGGATTGAAAAAAAGGTCACATGGTTAAAGGTAACAGATTTTCAAGACTGTTATTAACCTTTCAGAGAGTGGAGTGATGAGGTCAGAAGCCAGAATGCAAGGGGTTAACAAGTGAGTGAGTAATGAGGAAGCAATCATCTTGATTCTTGCTTTGATCCTCATCTCTCTCCTTCACCCTGCCCAAAGCTGTATTGGCAAGTGAGGGAGCCGATCAGACACCAGAATGTTTCCAGGATAACATAGCCCTGGTACGTGCTTTGGATCTACCAGTCTAATTCTTGTTCCCTTAAAGGCAATGACTACTTTTTTATGTTCTTGTTTCTACAAGATTCTGTTTTAGACTCTTTTCTTTTTTTTTTCCTTTCTTCCTTGGGTTCCCATATGTTCCTATAGGTTCAATTGCTGTTTCTGAGTCCCTGCCCATATTCTTCATCAAGGAAAAGAAGAAGGTGAGATCTCCAGGGAACATAAAGGCAGGAAATGACCTGAAACTCACACTGTATGTAAAGAGACATAGTGATATTATGGCCAAAGCAGTGGACTAGGATTCAGAAAACCTGAATTCATGTCCAGACTGATTTTGTATTAGTCTCCTTCTTGCATTTTTCCTTCCAGTCAAACTGTGTTACTAGCTATTTCCCAAATTTGACATTCCATCTCCCCTCATTTATGGGTCCCCAGAGAACGACCACAGTTTTTGAGGTACTTTTTGGGTCAGTATCTACTCAGAAAAAAAATCATAGTACATGAACCCCCACCAATGTGTTTGCTCTTACTAGGCCAAGCAGTGTACACATTAGTTCAAAATAAGAGATGTTAAATCAAACAGCGTAACAGCATAATCTTCTCCAGATTCTGCCACCATGCTCCTACTAGGGAATTTCTCACCTCCTTTTCAGGGTTCTTCTTCCATTAGAATGTAAGCTCCTTGAGGGTAAGGATTGTCTTTCTTTTTGCTTGTATTTGTGTCCCCAGGATTAGCACTGTGTTTGGCCTATGGTAAGCACTAAATAAATGCTTGTTGACTTGATTTAACTTAACAGAGAAGAAATTTTAAAAAGAATTACCAGCACCTGTTATGTACAGTTACATTTCCACTAAATTGAAATTTTAAAAGCAATAGAAGTTTATCTACAAAGATATATAATACCTATATTAACAGAACATGAAGCAGAAAGGTTAAGCAATCCAATTTTAGAAAAGGGAATTTCTAACGAAAGAAGAAAAAAACCTCTGTTACAGGAGAATGTTATCAAACCTTTAAAGAACACTTAATACCAATCCTAAACAATTTATTCTCAAAAATTGACACAGAAACACTCTACTAAACTCATTTTATGAAACAAATATAGTCCTAATACTTAAACAAGGGAAGATTAAAAAAAAGGCAAGATAGAGGAAACTGAAGACCAATAGCTAACATTTACATAGAACTTTAAAGTTTGCAAAACTCTTTAATACATTCTATCATTTGAACCTCACAATAGTTCTTAGAAATAAGTGATGTTATTATCCTCATTTTACAGATGAGGAAGAGAGATAGTAAATGACTTGCCGAGGGATGGTCATATAGCCAATTACATGAGGAAGGATTCAAATTTCAAAGGATTTAAAGTCTTCCTAACTCTAAGACCAGCACTCTGTCTACTATACCTCAATTCATAATTTTAAAATAAAATACTAGCAAAAATACTACAGCAATATATTAAAAAAAATTATTCAGCATAATCATGCTGGCTTTATATCAGGAATATAACAATATCCTTGAACAATAGTTCAACATTGGGGAAAACACTTAACCTAATGAATCAGATTGAAATAAAAAACACACCAAATCACATAATTATATCACTAACTACAGAAAAAAAGCCTTTGACAAAGTACAAAATATTTATGCTTTAAAAATTCTACAAAGCATTGGCATAGAAAGAACATTTTAAAATTATTTACAAATATCTAAAATCAAAGGCAGCATTAGATGCAATGTGAAAACACTGAAGGCTTCACAATGGATAGAGGACTAAAATAAGGATGTTCCCTAATGATATCAATAAGACAAGAGAAAAAAATAAAGGCATAAGCATAGGAGACAAAACTATCCCTATTTACTGATAACTCAACTTCGAAAATTCTGGAGAATCAGCAAAGAAACTAATTAAACAATGGCTTTAGTAAAGTAGCAAGGTATAAAATAAATCCACAAAATCCACGTCATTTCTGTACAGCAATAATAAAATCCAGGTGGAAATGATAGGAAGTTAAGTCTCATTCATAATTGCTACAAAAACATCTCAATTGCTAAAACAAACAAAAAAACCTTACAGTCAGTCTACCAAGGCACAATTAGCATGTATAGATACAATTATAAATTTTTTTAACATAACAGCAT